GGGTTTTCCCCCCTCCCCCAAAGGACAAGCCGAGAGCTCTGCATCCCGCAGCTTCTGGGATGTTTGTTTCCCTTAGAGACACACTTTTGAATCAGCATAGAGCTGGAAGGGAGCTTGGAGGTCATCAAGTCCATCCCCCCCTCCTCAAGCAGGAGCTTGTAGACTATTTCAGAGAAAGCGACTGCAATTTTAGTGGATTGCAGTTTGCTTGGAGAGGTGTCCCTGTTCTCCCCCCACCCCTCCCGCTGACCAAGGGGTTTGCTGTTGCCTCCTTCCTAGGGGTGGGAGAAAAGGGCTGGCTCAAAGTCAACCAGCTGGCTTTGCCCTTAAGGCAGGATTAGAACTCAGGGTCCTGGCCTTCTAGCTTGTTGTCTTAACCACTAAGCCAAACCGGCTTCGATTTTGGGGGAGGTGGGGGCTTCCAGGCAGCGTTGACTTTTGGTGACTGCCTGGACCGGATTTATTTATTTTTTTAACTTGGCAACATATTTTGGAAGTCGTTTCTCTTCCTTTTTGTGAGATCCAGGTCTCTACCTAGCTAAGACCCCAAGCCAGCTTCGATGACCCTCAGCCCTGGGGCTGGGGCGCGGGGGGAAGGAGGAGGAGGAGGGCTGTGGGGGGTCCTTGCTGCTCTTTGAGCTTGGGGGTTTTCTTGCAGACATTTCATGACCCAACTAGGCAACATCATCAGTGCTAGAAGGGGGTGGCGGGGTTGCAGGGTGGAAGAGGAGGAGGAAGTGGAGGAGGAGGAAGAGGAGGAGGAGGAAGAGGAGGAGAAACAGTAAGTGGAGGAGGAGGAAGAGGAGAAATAGTAAGTGGATGAGGAAGAGGAAGTGGAGGAGGAAGAGGAGGAGAAATAGTAAGTGGAGGAGGAGGAAGAAGAGGAGGAAGTGGAGGAGGAAGAGGAAGAATAGTAAGTGTAGGAGGAAGAGGAGGAGGAGAAATAGTAAGTGTAGGAGGAAGAGGAGGGAAAAGAGGAAGAGAAGGAATTGTAAGTGGAGGAGGAAGAGAAAGAAGAAGAGGAAGAGGGAGAGGAGGAGGAAGAGAAGTGGGAGGAGGATTGTGGGGTCCTTGGTGCTCTCTGAGCTGGGTGGTTTCTTGCAGACGTTTCATGACCCAACTAGGGAACAATATCAGTCCTGGAAGGGAGAGGAGTTTGGGGAGAGGAGGAGGAGGAGGAGGGGGAAGAGGAGGGGGAGGAGGTGGACCAGGAGGAGGGAGAGGAGGAGGACTGTGGGGTCCTCTCTGAGCTGGGTGGTTTCTTGCAGACGTTTCATGACCCAACTAGGGAACACCATCAGTGCTAGAAGGGAGTGGGGCTTCTGGAGTGAAGGAGGAGGAAGAGGCAGCGGCAAGATCAAACCATTTCTGAGATCTCGCCAGAAAAAGACAGCAGGGACTTCAGTCTCGTCCAGGCAGCTGCCAGGATTCACGACAGACTCAAAAATGGGGCGGGGGGGACACCCCCAATTAAAAGCACACGACATCAATGTTAATGTCTAGAAGTAAACCGCTAACGAATCTCATTTTCTCTCCCTTAAAAGGGACAGCTTTTATAAATCGGACACCCGCCTGATTTGCCGCCGGTCGCTCTGCACGGGCCAGAAGGAAGGGGCATTCATGACTACCTGCCATCGTCTGAATTTGAGGAAACCTCTGCAGTGGTCCAACAAGTGAGGGCAAGCCTCCTCCGGCCGGGGGGGACAATAATAATCCAATTTTAGCTTCTGAAATCGGTGTCCGCTGGCGGCTGGGAACTAGCTGTTTTGGCGGAGAATGGCCTGGCTGGACGAATGGAAACCCGGAGGATGCCTAAGCAAGGAACCTGGAAGAACCATCTTGGCAGGGGAGGAGAGGCAGGAATGACGGGCCCCCAAACCCCCAAGCTCTGGCAAGAGGCATCGAACACTTAACTTGGATGTGAGTCGCTTCCCTTCCTTCTATCTGCACCTGTCCTCTCCGTACCGTGTGAACGTTAATGAACAATGCTGTCCGGGTTCCGACGGACGCCCTAATTAATTCATGTGCCTCGAGCCACGTTTCAAAAGAAATCCAATTATTTATTAGGAGCAACATGTCGGCATTTTTCCCCGAGTGCAGTTGGCTCTGCCCTATGTATTTTACGGCCACCTATGACCCTGTTTCTCCCTTCCTCCCAGGATGTGTCATTAATCACATTCTCCAATGGAGGTATGTCATAAATCACATTCTTTAACGGAGGTATGTCATAAATCACAT